TCAGCAGGAAGGCTGGCAGAGAAATCCTCGTAACTTTCAGTCGGTTCACCAAGCTTTTCGACGATAACTTGCTTCTGCTCCATCTCAATTTTGAAGACTATGTACCGGTAAGTCCTTTTCGCCTTGAGGTCTAGAAATCTCAGCTTGCAGTCATCGTGCACAGCAACACCAGAAGCCGCATTTGCCTGAAGAAAAGATAATGTTAAGCAGGCACTAGACTTTGTATCAGCTCTAGAGTCGGCTAGACTCGCTTTTAGTATTTGTGGATCACATAGGTAGAATGTTATAAGATTGACGAGATTCATGTGAAAGTATAGTAATAACACTGATACGAGCTACTCAGAGAACCCCCCGTCTAGCAAAAAAAACAGATTAATCAATGTTTCTAACATATGATTATTCACTTTCATGAATACTACATGAAAAACTTATCCATCAAATGAATCAGATTTCAAGAGAGAAGATAAACAATGAAATGCGTTTTGTTGGGACTATGGCCATATCGAGATCAACCTCGTAGCCTATGGGATCTAAGATCTTACTTATTCGAACCAACATCAACTGGGAAAACCCCAGTGACTTACCATAAAATTAAGCACAAAGAAAATATCAAGATTTTAGTTTTCCTGACACTCATTCTACACGACCACTGTTCTTGTAAATTGACTTGCAAGCTTCAAAGCAAGTATAAAAAACACATTCAGAAAACCACCGATAAGCCCGCTTTCTGATGCTAACTCTGATTTGGCATCAACCATTCGCCAAATATCATTTTACGTGGCCCCAAATTGACATATGTCACCTTTGCAGCGATATTAACTTAGCAGAGCGATTACCCAAGAATAGAATCGCTATATCACATCATGAGTTCAGATATAACAAACCATAAAATCAATCCACTTCAACTATAGCATGTGTTTCTAAAAAAATATCATAATTTCAGTGAGACCCTTAGAAGAAATCTAACAAATACACATTGCAATACAGACCCAAATACCGTCACCGACACAAAAATAGACGAAGTCAATTAGAGTCAAAGAAACGAATAAATCGATCACGCAAAATCAATTGAAATTTAGCATCACAGATCACGCAATCCACAGATATAACTCGAGCTTCAAGTGCTCGTAACACCAAGAGGGATTATATATTCAGGATTTCAGATCAGACGATCGAAAACACATGTTCGCACTAAAACTTTCCAGATTCCTGAAAATTTAACCAGAAACTCGAAAGATCGGGTTAAACACGTCAGATTCGGGAAATCAAACACCGAACGGTTAAATCGCATAAAGATTGCACCGAAGAAACGCGAAATTCGGGATCAAAGTCAAAGAGAGAGACAAGTGCTGTATCATGGAGACGAAAACTAACCATTTTCCCCGAGAAACTAGCGAGAAATCAGCGAGAAAGCTAGGGCTACACGAGCGGGGAATGACAGAGAGCAGGGGGGCGACAGGATTTTTCTTTTATGGGTTTATACTTTTCTTTGCTTTAAGAAATTCTCCACTTGCTTTTGGGTTCTCGCCAGTGAAGCTCTTTCCTTCACGTCTCCTTTTCATTCTTTTTTAAAATATAATTATTTTATTGATTATATATTTAAAACAAAAGTTAACTCCCTCGAGTTTTTCGGATTTTTCAATTGACCCCCAATCTTAATATATAACAAATTTTTCCACTTTATTTTAGTTTTTATTTTCAATTTAGTAATCAATAAAATTAAGATATTATTTAAATTAATTAGTCAATGAAGGACATCTCGTAGTGCTAAACGAACTTTATCATTGGTCTTTCAATATCAAATAACAAATAACTAGAATTGAATAAATAACAAATTGTAGTAATATATATAGGGGCGATTTTTTTCATATTAGATAAAGATGTTTTTTATACATATAAATAAAGAAGCATGGTCCACATGTATTTTGGCTTTCAATTTCTTTCTTTCGGAATATAATTAAATAATGCATTTATCAATAAAGGTTCTTGCTCCTTTTTTATTTTAATTCTTTTGGTTTATGGATAATTTTTCTCGGATTTTTTTTTTTATTTCCTATTCAAACAAACGCATTTCAGAGCATCTTTGGCTGAAACGTGTAAAAATTGGTGAGAACTAATAAATTTATATATGCATTATCCTTTCTGTGACCCATAAGAACAGGATTTTGATCAGACAGCAGACGGGTATTCGAGATTTTCGAGTCCGTGATTCTTGGTACAGCGAGGATTCGGGTACCCGCAATGGGCCTGTGAATCGCAAGAAGGGTGAGGTCGCGCCTTTGTTGAAGAAAAGGGCGAGAAGAGACAAGAAACTAAACAACTTGAAAGGATGTATCTGAGAGTGAGGCCAGAGGCAATGACCACAAAGCCTTAATCTAAGAAGAAAATGGAAGCCTAATGCCACTGCTGAAACATGACTCCAGGCATCAAGAGAAATGACAAAAGTCTTGCTGAACAAATGGCTACAATAGCTGACAAAGTAGCACCCACTAGTGACCAGTTTGTCATCAAGAAGGCAACTCAGCCTCAAGATTCAGTTTCAGATGGCAATTTTGATCTTAAATCTTAAAAAAAAAAGAATGTGAAATGTGTTTTTGCTTGCTAGAGATCAGAAAGATAGTTTGCAAGTAAATGGAAAGCATCAGCACATAAATCCAGAACAGAAGTCTCAAAGAATCTATCTGAATCTTAAAAGTTGAACTCCTTGCAGAAACTTGGATACTTCACAAAGAGAACCAAAATTCACCAGACTGAGAGATCACTGCATCAAGGAGTTCAACTACTCGCCCTTTACGGAGTAGATAGATATACTCACCACGAGAGAAAAGCTTGCGAGCAAGTGGCTCGTCTTCTTAAGATGCCAAAGTGACACCATCCGCCCCATAGATACGCTTAAGTTCACGGCTAGCAGCTTGAAATGACTCTGAAGACAAAAACAAAGTAGAACAGTCTTTTCAGCCAGACAGCAGAGAAACTGTGTTCTGCAATCTTTGTTCTCCATCTCATGTTCTAAGCTGTCTGCGACGATATTATTATACCTTTCCAGGCGTTGAAGTTCTTATGGTTGATCTCGGATCCTGTTACATTTTGGATAGCATCAAACAACATCTCCTGAGGAGTGTTCTTCAGCTCTTGAACAACAGCATAAATAGTTTTCCCATTCTCAAAGTATATGTGGTTGTTCGGGTGCTTTGTTTTGCAATTGGCATGACGCTCAAACTCATACGCGTTAAGAACCTGCTAGACAGAACAAATTGGAATAAAAAAAAAAAGATCAACAGAAAACTAGAGCCGGGTATCAAATTGATTCGGCTGTAAATGACTGAAATATGAAATAGTTTGTATCGGTTTGCATACTTTAGCCATCTTGCACTCACTGCAACCACACAGGTACCCAGTTCCCTTGATAATCCCATGGAGATTTTTCTGCCAAAACAAAAACTATAGGTATCAGCACACGAGAAGAGTGGCAGACAAGGGGTTGATTTCAAGATAGATAAGATAAGAAAGTAACCTCGCGTGACCAGGAGTAGTACTTAACAGGAACCCCATCAAACATTCCTGTTGACAACAACGACTTAACATTTGAAGGGAAGGTGTTAGTGGTGGCCTTCTTACCGTTCTTTGATTCTTTGATATTAGGCAAGGTATCGGCACTTGGATTAGAAATAAACATCCCACGCACGTTTCGTTGTGTCTCGGGACCTTTGGAAGTACTGCCGGATGAGACGAGCACGTTTCCATTCTGAAAACCTCCAAAAGATATGGTATGGCTTCCACCCTGTTGAGTAATAGGAACACTGTTTTGGTCTGCTCTGTCTTGGTTAGGAAGCATCAATGCCATCCCTCCTCCTGCCTTATATGGATACGGTCCCATCGATAACACATTACCATCCTCCTTCTGAAAGAATGTATCAGATGAGAAAAGATTTTCTGCCGCTTTTCCATAAGAGGTGAGAATAGACATGAAACTCTCCTGTCCCCTGTTATATGAAGGACTCATCGAGAAAAGATTACTGTCCATCTTTTGGAAAGACTGACCCTGATGTACAAGGTTGTCCCCTCCTTTCTCAAATGGTTGACATGGAGGCAAGACATTTACTTCTCCGTTGTCATAAAGGCTGCTCAATGGCAAGAAGCTAATCCCATCTTTACTGAAATTCTCAGGGAAACTCTCACCTTCCTTACTAAAGATTGGCCCTGCAAAGGTTAAGCTCTTTTCACTACTACAGCCAGTTTGGCCCGAGGATATGGGACTGTTCTGAGTTCTACTAAACGAAGAACCCATATCAAACGATCTTGGAATTCCCTCGCCATAAAACTGTGTCATAGGTTCCTCTATGCTTCGGGTGAAGTCACTCACTTGATTCACTTTCACCTTTCTAATGCCCCCAACATTATAAGACGAGGATCCGTCATGAACAGTATGAGGCAAACCAAATGATAAGGCATTATTATATTGCTCCTCTAGATATTTTCTTCCCTCAAAACTCTCACCATCCACTGGACTCAAATTTCCAGCATCCAGATTCACAGTATGCACATCCTCAGGATCAAATAAGTGATCAGTTGACTGCCCAGATGCAAGAGAATTGTTCCAAGCAGACAAATACATTTGAGGAAATCCGTTACCAATCCTAGCATCAGCGCATTCTACAGCACGGGTCTTGTTGCTGAACAGCTCCGAATTATACGAATCCGTCAGCCATTGATGACCCCTCTTCGGCGCCATTATTGAGCTATCAGCATATGGGCTCTTGAAACTCTTCAAGATTCCAGTACCCAAATTAAGCCACTGTCAGATTCAGACACAGCATCAATCGACAAAAGATCCTCCCAAACCATGAGTATTTCATGTCATAAAAGGCATAAAAGGAAACACGCTGTCATATGAATGAACACTCGAATAGATAGGCAAGGAAACAAGACAACATACATTAATGCAACTTGTTAAACGATTTGTTTCTATATTATGAATATGAGCAAGCTTTGTTTTGAACGGACAGCAATGGAAAGTCTCGATTTTGCCTTCTGGGTTTTGTACCCTAAAGCCCAAGATCACACTATTCAGCCTTCGTCACTGAAATATCGACGGTCAAATCAGTGAACAGCTCCGCCGCGCCGTCATCTCAATTCGCCGGCGGATCCGATCCTCGACAAAAGCTCAACCCGAAATCCCAAAAACCCAGAAGATGGAGGAACTCAGGAGGTGGATTAGAAGAATAAGGAAGGTTCCAAAGCCGCCCAGGAGAAAGAGAAGCACACGAAGAAGAAGAAAAAGAAGAAACGGAAAGGAGAAGGAGAGAGGACTCGCCGGCGAGAGGAGAGAGAAGGCTCCGTACAAAAAACAGAGAGAAATTCAACAAAGCATTTAGGGGCCATTTTGCCTGACAGTAACTTTCTTCAAATTCTCTCATCGATTTTACCGACAGTAAACCATCATCGGTATTTACCAACATCACCGCCACAAAATACAAGTACAAAAAAAAATATATAAATACATTGGTATAAATACACCAATTAAAAAACTTTATATCTACACTAAATATATCAAAATTATCGAATTCCACTGGTATTTACGATGTTAACTGTTTTATTGATAGAATCTGACATGGAAATTTAAGAAAAAATCGGATTCAGGAAAATAATAATAAAAATTATTAGATAAAATAAATAAAGTAGTTAGATGCAGAATGCCATCCGATATAAATATATGAATTAAAAATTCTATATAAATATATTAATTATATCAAAATGAAACCAGTTTTAACGGTGTTAATTTATATAATCCGACGATGACAAATTAATGATATTTATGGAGAAAATGAAACCAGTTTCATATTACAAAAAAATTATCACATAAAAAATCAAAATGATGGAATATGGAATATCATCCTATCATTTTAAAATAATAACTTTTCCGATTTTTTATTTTAAAGCTTTTAAGTTAGAGATATTTTCTATAATTTTTAACACATTTTCCTTATTTTCTACTATCAGTTATTTTTAAAAATTATTTTCATCCAAACCCCGCATATATTATAAATAGAAATGCGCCCATATATTAATAGAAAGAGAATACAAACCAAAACTCTTAATTTAACATTAAAATTTTAAACTAAGATATATTAATAAAGATCAAATTAAGATAGAAAAAAGAAAATATTATTTTACAAACAAATGGACTACTTTTATCATGACAACATGAGCTCAAGGGTTAAGATTTTTTTCTATAAAAAAAAAAACCTTTGGTAGTGTGCCAGAAAAAAATAGTAATTGAGAGAAAAAATATCATCAATTACTAAAATAGAGAAAGTCCTGTCAATAAATGTCATTTCAGATTTCAGAGCCAAGGGTTTGCGAGGTGGTGCTCCAAATTTTAAATTTTTAAAATCCGTCTTTTTTATATTTTTCATGAACATTCAAATATTATAATAAAGAAATGTCATCATTTTCAAAAAAAGATGTAATAGACTAATAATAATCACAATTTTTTTTTTGAAAAATATTAATTATGAAATTATAATTGATAGTTTTATTTTTTTTCATTTATATTATTTTAAAATATGATTTTAACATTATAGATATTTATAATATTTGAAATTTAATTTCATAAAAATTTTCTATAAATCAAATAGGGATACAAAAACGTTTGAGACGGCTAATCTATCTAAAATAAAATAAACTAAATCAATTCTAACTCATATTTAAAAAACTATAACCTAATTGAATCAAATTGTATTTTATTTTGTCCTTCGGGGTCAGGTCAGTTGGTTGGGAGCAGGGGGACAACTCCTTGAGGTGGGGGGTTCGAATCCTGCCGTCTCCCTTCCTCTGACCTGCTCGCCTGTTAGCCTATCATAATGGGCTGATTTACCTCCTACGTGTGTGTTGCAGGCTCGTGCGCGTGGACTTGGGGTTTGACCCGCAGGCGCTTGACCCGCAGGCGTTTAAGTCCAACTACGGCCCGAGCGTTAGGCGCGCCTGGTGGCCATGTCCGCAGACTGAGGTCCATGGGGACTGTTAGACGCGGATGATGGCCAGTTCGTCTCCGTTTATAAGGGTAGATAGTCACGGGGTTCCCCAATGTATCAAATAAAAAATGTATTTTATTTTGGTTATTTGCAAAAGTACTTGTTGAGATGATCATTGATTCAGCTCGAAACCCTTCATAAAAAAAACGAAAAATTATTTTTTTATTTGTTTGTTTAGTTATGTATTTTAACATAGCGATTTTGTTTCTATTTGTATTTTTTTAATAAAAAAAAATTTGACAAATCATGACAAAAAAAACCCGAAACCAAACAAAAAAATAATCGATTCGAAAGCGAAGAGATGAGACAATAAATTCCTACTTCTAGATCAAAGTACTTAATTCAAATAGATTGCAGGCATGAATTGTCGTTTCCTCCGGTTATGATCTTAAAAAAAAACCTAATTTATCCTTATGAAGTAAAATCTTAAGGAAATAATCGTAAGGATTATTGAGGAAAAGACTTAAGCAAGCAAATGGAGAAGGATAATGAGAAGTTATACGTAAAAATACTTCGAAACAATTCCAAAAAAAAAAATCTAAGTTGAAAATATAGAAGAAAACTCATGAAGCCCAACTATATATGTTCCATGTCTACTATATATGTGTGTGTGTATATATATATGACTTTCTATATTGGCACTTGGTGTACAACACAGCATAGTCTAACTAGTGTGGAACGTTAATATTTTATATCCATCCAAAAAATAATATACCTAAAATTAATTTTAAATTTTATATGAATTATTTTTATTTATTTATTAAGACTAATTTCAGTACAGTGGCCTATGAATCCCTCCCTACCCATATATCTGTTCTTGAAATTTCGTAGCATGCATGTTTTTTCTTCAACTCTTTTGTGATGCCATTTTTGTAAATTTCTTTAACATGCATGTTTTCCATCAAAGAAGGTAAAAATAAAACGTTGATGGGTTAAATGTGGAAAATAAGATGAGACTCCAATGGAAATGTAAAATAACCAAATTGTTTCTGTTTGATTTTTTAGTTAGTCCAAAATGATTCAAAAAATTTGATAAATATGTATATTTCACCAATAATCGGTATGTTTTTGTCGTATAACCGATCTCAACGGTAATATATTTCGAAGATTTAAATTTTCACCCAACAGATCGTGGGCGAGAAGGTCAAACTTGGGTATGAGGTAACTCCACCTTGAAGTTGAATGTACCGTTTTGAAGATTTAAATTTCCAACCGTCTTTCCATTCCCACCTTTTCTTTTCAATGACCAAGTATATAGACGATCCCAACCATGGTTTATAACCGTTTTAAAATTAAAAATCGTTCAATATCACACATATTATCATGTATGAATTTTCGATGAAAAAAAATAGAGAATTACATAGAGTTCACATTATCCTAAAATTTGAATTTATATAAATTGTGTTAAAATTATTTATTCATATATTATCTTTATATTCCTAATAGTATTAAGAGTTCTTAAAAGAAATTATATTGCATATTTAAATGAACTCCGAAATTAATACCTGATATGCCATCGGTGTCTTCTTTGTTGTTACGAACGCCAAGTCTGCCAACGATATCAACACTTTCTTACACAATCTGCACAAAAAAAAAATAGTTTAGCGTGAAAAAAAAAACCAATTATATATAAAAATAAATAAAGCAATAGAAACCGCAATAAAATTGAAAATGATTTTATACAAAACACATACGTGGATCTTTAATAAACGTAGAGGCAAGATTAATTGCTTATGCGCACATGTTGAGCAAGAAAATTCTCAAGAAAAGGTGTTACCAATGATGTCGTCGCCGGCGTTTTTTCCGGCGATTCGTATGATTCCTTCGCCGGCGACGAGTAAGCTTTTTTTTTTTTTGAAAGAAATGATAGTTTTTTTTTCCTCTCACTCACTCACTGTGTGTTTCGTTTTCTTTTTTCATAAATATTTTTTTTTCTTTGAAAGTGAGAGAATATTTTCTGTGTGTGGTAGAGCAGGTAAACTCTCCTTTACATGCCCACCATTACTCTCCACGTGGACAAGTACAAATCCGACGGTAGAGAAGAGTTCACAGGATTACATTATGAAAATCTTAACCGTTCAAGTAATTGGCGTAGGTTAAAACAATATGCCTAGTAGTAGAGAATCATACCTAAACTTCCATTGAAACGCAGATACGTGTCGCGTTTGAACTGGTCATTATATATCCTTGTCCAGTTTTGAACTTGAGTGACATAATCAGCTGTGTTAGGTGCACCGTAAGGAGGAGTTCCTCCGCAAGCGGTATTTCATTTTTCTAAATATGCACCTCTGGGGATAACTATGTACTTAAATACTCTCAGATTCGGTAGAATAAACTTTAATACTTTCTGTTTTTGATGAACAAAATCAATGTAACTTAATTGTTTTCTATCTTTCATTAGAAATAAACAAATTTCCCGAAAGGAATATAAGAATTTGGTTAAATGTATATTAGACGTGGATATATCAAAAATATTTTCAGATTCTTATTTTGACTCCAATCAATACATATTTTTCCGGATGTGATTATTTGATTAAAATAATATTATATTCACCTCGTAATCATACTGATTATAACATTGAATTTATAATGGTTTTATAAAATGATTGGTGTGATATATAAATAAATTTAACTGAATACGATATGCGGTCAGATTATAGTTTGAAATCAAAATAGTAAAATGAAGATTTTTGGATAACGTTTGTTTATTAGAAAAATATTGAAAAATGTGCATTAGAAATTTGAAACAACCATTGAGTTTGTGATTAATATCCTCTAAAAAAATGTAATAGAGATTACTATTATAATGGGTGATTTTAAAAATTTTCTAGATGCAATTCTTAAAGTGTGCATTGCATTCTCTGAGTGCAGCTAAAGTAGAATTTTTATTACAACATAAATTTAATATATATGATTATGAAATAATGATGTATCAATTTGATCCCAAATATTCAAAAAAAAAAAGCTCTGATTTTACTAGAAAAAGGTATAAATTCGTACCTAAATTTTATATCAAAAATAAAAATATTTACCTATTCAGTAGATTTATATTTTTTACGCAAAATAAATTTCAACTAAAAGTTAACTTTTTTATAAACAAAACTTCTGTTTTGCTTGGAGATCAGAATGGGATAATTTTTTGTCCAACCAAGATTTTCTCCCTATTACCACACGCAAATAAAAAAACAAAACATTGCATATTTCCTACCACGGTTATTTCCCTGATTAATACAAAGTAACTTTTTTACCATTATCAATATCAAATGGGCCAATTAATTAGGAAATAGTCTCTCCGTAATAAAATTTCCAAATATTTTTCATCAAAAAAAAAAATTCCAAATCTTCCCCATACATACATACACGCATACATATATACACACTAAAGAAAATAAGAAAATGAGAAAAATTCCTTGACGGGGTGAGGTGGATATTGATGAACCAAATATTTGATTCAACCCAACTCATCTTAAGTCACCAACTAAATGAGTTAAATAAATAACTGAAAACTAAAATTTAAATATTAAAAAACTATTTAAAAATATTATAAATACAATAAAAAATTAGTCAAATATTTATTAGAAACACAATTTTAATACATAAAATATTAAAACTATTAAAAATTAAACAAAAATATTTTTTTCTTGCTCGTATAAGCTCGTGGGTTTCCAAACTGGCTCGCCATGAGTTCGGCTCATAGCGAATTACCTATTTTTTTCCTACCTAAATTTTCTAAACTCAATTCAGAAGAATAAGTTACAAACCCATTTACATCCTAATTTTAAAATATGTTAGGATTTAATTGGTTAGTTCCATCCACTCTATTAATAATGAATCGTTTGCTCTTTCAATGTCGAAATTTTTTCGAAAATTTGCTACGCATTTGAATTGCAATATATCCTAAAAACCCATACAAATATTAAAAAAAATATGTTATTGTAAAAAATGATTTCTACAACAAAAAGATAAGAGAAAAGCACAAAACGATACCTGAATTTCTCAATTTTAACAACATAAAACCCAATTTTGTTATCAAATAAAATCTCAATTTTATTTTTTAGTAAAAAAATACCCGAATTTTATAATCTTTATCGTTTTTAAACTTATTATTGACGTGACATTTCGATATTATGACGTATGGATGATGACGTGTCAAATATTAACAAAGTGTTGATTTGCCACGTAATATATCGTAACGCATAGTAAAAAAATACCCGAACTTTATAATCTTTATATTTTTTAAACTTATTGTTAGTGACGTGACATTTCGATATCATGACGTATGGATGATGACGTGTCAAATATGAACAAAGTATTGATTTACCACGTAATATGTCGGAACGCAGCGTGAATAATAAATTTAAAAATGATAGAGATTATAAAATTCGGATTTATTTTTTTGACTGAAAAAAAAAATCGAGATTTTATTTGATAAAAAATAAAATTTAGGTTTTATTTTGTGAAAATTAAAAAGTTTAGATATTTTTTTGGGATTTTCTCAAAATATAAATATAGAAGAGAATTGATCCATGTAATGTTTCCGAAGAACATCATCATGGAGTACAAAGAAAAGCTTCCCAAGCTTAGTTTATGAGTTCATCGCAAAATAGAAATGTACATAAATTTACATCAGAATCATGACATGAAACTGCGTCTTCGACGGACCAACAAAACACAAATCCAGAAACCATAATCAGGTAATACGATCCAAAACGTTACACTGCAACGCCTCGGTGTTTTCGTCTCCAGCACCGGATTTCACAGCTCGAGGTCGATACGTTCGGACCATCGGAAGATATCGGAGTGAACCTGGTCGCCTCCGAGGTCAGAACCGCTGCCTCCAGCCGCAACCCTCATGATATCTTCGATCAGAGCAAAGTTCCCCATGATATCGACGTGGGCGCCGCTCTGAGTGCCTCGTCCCTCGAGGAGATTAGCCGGGGGAGAGTGGTCGTATTCTCGGATATGAGTCTTGATCCCCGAAGGGTTGAACCTCGTCTTTCCTCGCCATGCCTTTGCGCACATGAAACCCGCGCTTAGGACAGGTACTGTCTCGTCCCCATCCACGTGGTAAACCCCCGCTTTCAGACAGCTTTCCTCCTCCTCTTCGTGTGCTGATGTGTCGATCTGAAAGGGGATGCAGCTGTCGGGAGATTGGTTAACCTTGTAGACGTATGCTCTTTCCGTCAATATCCCAACTCCGTACAAGGAGAATATCTCCATCTCTGGTGCATCGGGTAATCTGAACAGCGAAAGAGTCAACATTACAGCCTTCAAAAGGGCAGCAAGCTCGGGTAAGAGTCTTGATAACAAAGCGAGATTTACGCATGGCACAGAGAAAGTATCACCACAGAGAATCTTAAAGATTCATCTAAATCAACAGGAATAAGAATTTACGGGTCTTCTTGAGCCGAAAACCATATCCAAGAACTCGTAAATGTAGCAGAAAAGGAACGAACACACATGAGACGAATCACTTACTTTGTCTCCAATGGATTCGACCAGTACTTGTAATGTGAGTACTTTGGATCATCCAAATCATCAGCAATGCCATAAGAGAAGTGAGCGGCACCCCGAGCCATCATCTTCGGGGCAACAAAATTAAGCAAATCTATGACTGAATCTGCAGTATAGACCTTATACTCAGCAATGGCTTTGATCCCTCCAATTCCCATATCATGGTACTCTGTCCACACGTCCCGACATGTGTTGTTAGCTATACTCTGTCCTTTCACCGCACCCTACCAGAAAACAAAACAGTTGAAAGACATACGTTAACCATACAATGATGTTTTGCATCTGATGGACGAACACCAAAATATGATTATACCAAGTTTCGTCGGCTTACCCTGAAATCAAGCTTCTGAATCTCAGATGATGGTGCCTCTGCCACTTCTTTACCGAATGATATTACCCTTCCGTAGTTAACATACTTTGTCTTGTCACCATCTTTACCATTTGCAGCTCGAGTCTCGTTGCCCTTTTGCTTTTTCCCGCGAAATGTATAGCCTTTCTCGGGTGCCCAGTCAAAAGCGCCCCATATCGTGTCTCCTCCCTTTGGTACCATGGACATAGTCGAGTCCCATGTGCGTGTCATTCTCATTACATGCTCCAACGTCTGAAGGCGGAATATGTCGTTATCTAAGAAGCCTGGTGCAAGTGCCCTGCATACAATGAGAGGAACAGATTCACAAAATAATGTGACCAAACCAAGAAAAGAATTTGTCATCATATTCACAACAAAGTAATGACACCGACATGTGCATGTATACATGGAATGGAAAAAGAAACAAGTACAAATCTGTAAAGAAAAGGGGAAGAAGTACCAACTTCCAAATATTTAAAAAGAACACTCTCAAAAGGCGATATAATAAGTCCTAGCTCGAAAATGACGATAAATGTTACTTCCAGTAAGAAATTTACCCTTCCCCAAGTCACCTAAAGTTCTTACAGTGAAACCCGACAAAGCACAAACCGAAATCAGAAGCAGAGGAGCACAACTAGCATACAGTGAACAGAAATAAGAACCAAAAGAAACAGAACAAGATACTAGTAGCTAACAGCAGCAATCTAACCTAAAACACATTCAACTCTCCCAGGAAATCGATTTTCTATCCAAACCCCATAAAAAATACCCACCTCACAATCAAGTCATTACCAGTACCGGATGCAAACAATCAGCCGTATTTTGACAAGAGAGAATATTGAACAGATATTGAAAGCGAAATCAAGTAGCTTCCCCCCCGTCAGATTAGGAAAGACAACCTGTTGAATCAAGATTAAAGGTTGTCAAGACCAACATCAATCTATTCAAATACCTGGCAACTGCAACATCCTTTGCTTCAGCAGAGAAAAGCCCTGCAACAGCTTTTGGAACACCGAGAAACGGTCCACCAATGTTCATCACTGCTTTTATATGCTTTGCACACCAGTCCGGACCACCCCCACCACCCATAGGAGCCGGTGCTTCAACCCATTTCATGAAATGTAGAAAATACAATACCCCCATGGAATGTGGAACTATAACTGCTTTTCTCCCACCATTGGTAGCAACCATCAACTCTATGTTACTTTTAATACGGCTGAGTGTCTGGTCACGCACCTGATAATTGAAAGGGAAACATATTTGTATTGTGTTTTGATGGAAAATAAACTTGAAATGTAATCAGAAATCTGTGTAGTTCTATGGAAAAGAACCTCAGTGTTCTGAAAGGAAAGTCTCCAGTCATAAGCAGCCATGTACATGTTCTTCTCTTCGTATCCGATATGAGCCAAGTTAGCGATCAGCACTGCCCAGACGAAGTAGCCTGGAGCAAAGTAATCGGCAGCCACGAGCCCTGAAACAGGTCTGACCCTAATACCAGAAGGATCCAGCCCAGTTTCATTATCCAAAGACATGTGTTCCACCCAGCACAGAGGCCTGGATCATCAACAAAGAAACATAGTACATCAACATCAACATCGCCTTAATCCCGAATTATTGAGATAGTACTAATGAAAAATAAAACCGACCCATCTTTAATCTACCAAATGATGGAACAGATATCATGACTTTATGCCAAATATGCTTGATCAATGGCCAAATCACCGTGGAGAAAGATATAACAAATACAACAATGCATATACAGTTCATCTCAGACGAAAATCGGTAAGGGCGAAAACAACTGCTCTATCCCTATGACAGCTCCACGTAATCAAGTACAGGTCTCTCACAAATCTTAAAAAGCAGATTAATCTTCCAAAGTGAAACACCCATGAACATCAATCTCATCACAAGCTCTCAGAAACAATTGAGAAAAATCTGTGCCGTAGAAGAACCCATCCCTTCTAACACCTTTAAACACTTTCCACACTCAATAATCTCTCTTCTTTATAGATCCAGAGGAAACTATTTCACTCGAAAACTTCTCTCTGTGTCTATACCAAGAAAAGGAACAACAAGTAACCAAGAAGGCATCTTTTAATCACCCCATCCAACTTTCCCCGCATGAAGTAACACATTCGAGATTCAGCAACATCAAAAACAGTTCCAGAATCAGCAAATAAACTTTTCGTTTCCTTGCATATGCAGCTTCAACCCAAATTTAGCAACTATCCAAAAACAACTAACATAACAATCACATACATACAGAACAGAAGTTCTTAGCCATCTTCAAGACTTTAATCTCATCAGATCCCAACAAAGAAGAAAGAAAAAAAAAAGAACTGACCTTTTGTACACCTCACCAAAAGTCCCACCCCACAAACGCTTCCTGAACAATCCATCGGCACAATGTTTGCCTTCCCAAAGCTCAAGCCCACCAGTGACAATCCCAGGGACGAACACGACGGGGTGTTTCGCCATTAAACCTTCTTTCCTGAGCTTCACACCAGGTGGGTCAGGCAACGGACCCGTGATTGCCTCTGTTACGTACTGAGGAAAGCTCGCGGGCATTGCGTTGTATAGGAACAATAGAAACCACCATGTCGCACAAACACAACCGATGAACCAACAGCACGAATCGACACACGACCATCTCACCTTTTGGCTTCCAGAACCTGCGCGTTTGTGGGTTTTCGAAGACTCGTGAGGCTTTTGCTGGGAATCCTCCACAACATCCTTCGATTCCGGCTCCTCGTTCTTATCTTTGTCGTCAGATGCGGTCGATGGCTTTCTCCGCCGGAGTAGGGGCATTCTCAGAGCCTGTTTCGTTCCGGGTTTGTTCGTTTCTCGAGAAAATCAATCTCTGTTCATCTGTTCCGAGAAAACCCGAGAATCTCTCCGTATGCTTCTGCTGGAGAGGGTGAGATGGTCCTTGACAAGCCCAGAATCTTCGTAAATCTGCCGGATGTAAAAATCCAGAATTTATTGACCTGAAATCTGAACTCTGTTCTCACGAATTCGGAGAGTGATCAATTATTAAATCTGGCGGAGAGAGAGAGAGAAGATGGCGTCGGCGACACAGAGGAGAAGATGGGATTGGTCGGATAACCCTTAACCAACCGATAACCGAAATCTCTAATTTACCGAAACCTATGAAAAATTTTGTTTTTCTTTTTAAAAAAAATATCAGATCCAAATGAGATTTCTCAGACTTGGTGCTGAGATTGACCGGCAAGATTCTCGAACTGTTTGATAGAATTTTCAAAATGAATTTTTCTTTTTCTAATTTTCTGTGGACGAAAGAAATTTCTCACAGTCCAAACAAAGGCCCATGATTTGAATATCATTTTTTATATTTATTTTTTCACGATTTGTATATAATTTTTAATCATCATGTAATTTCATGTCTTTTGACCCATCATTCCAATGATGAAATAAAATTCTCTAATTGGACCAAGTGTAACGCTCCTCATGTGCTGGCAAAATTAATCAAAGATCATGGAACGTTAAAAAAAAAAATTGAATTAGAGGCAACTCGAGAGGAAATTGTTAATTAATTTGTGCTTTGCAAATTACTTTAACAATTAATCAAGTAATTACCAAATTACTTTAACTGTTATACTCACAAAGTTTTATAATTCAAGGAACTGTATACACATCTCGGCATATATATATATATACATATATATACACGTTCATGTTTGGTTTCTTGGCACCCAAGTCATAATGGAACTCCGAATCCCCAAGGAAAAGTTCCGTCTTTTAAAAAAAAAAGTTAGAAACATAAAAAAGGAAACGACTCATCCGTTGTTACCATTTTTCAGATTTTTTCCATTTTAATTTCAAGAATTTGAAAATCATAATCCCTTCTTGTATTTATAAACTCCTTGTTCTTCTGTATATACTGCATATGTGTCAGTTCACTTCCTTGGACAAAATCTTGCTCTTCTTCTCTTCCCTTCTGCATCGATCTGTGCTTCCCTTCACGATGCCCGAGATCGATGACATGCCGCCGCCAATTCGGAAGGACAAGAGGGGAGAGCCACAGAGGTTGTCGGATCTTGAAAAGCTGACCAGCGACGCTCTCAAGGCCGCTCATGTCGCAGGTGACAAAGGGGATTACACCGTCTCTCGAGAGGCCTTGAGATGCGTCCACGTTCTCAGACGTATCAACTCTCTCCCTCTGGATCATCGTGTTATCTCCATACCCGACAACCTTCGCCCTCTCCAGTATCTTGCCAAGAACCGAAACCCTAAGATCAGCTCTGAGGCGAGATCTGTTCTTCAGCATTGGAGGAACCTCCTCTCTGGTAACCAGAAAGATCCCGTCTCGGGTTCTTCATCATCGGAGAGCACCCCCAAGAAGGAGAAGAAGAAGACGTCCATCGGAAGAACAGAATCTCGGAGGAACGACAAAGATTCTGCTGGTGGTACGATCAAGAAAGCATCACCATCTGGTAACAACAACCAGAAGAAGACGCCGATTGGTTCTTGCTCCACTCCCGAAGTTCAGACCCAGAAGAAGGCCTCAATACCAGAATATCAAGAAGTATACGAGATCTTGAAAAAGGCCCACGATGCAGTGAAAGGCCGTAACTTTCTCGCCGCAGAGGACTCCAGGAGATGCGTCGTGACATTGAAAGGGCTCTTCCTGGTTCCTCGGAGAGTGGCTCGTGATCTTCTTCTAGCCACCGACGCCAAATCAAGGATGCAGTCTCTCAAAACTCACGCCGATACAGACGTCGGGTCCATGGCTGAATCCTTGTTCGATTACTGGATGCTGCTCGTCTAAGAAAAACAGCGACCGATTCTTTCGAGGAACAGAAAGGGTTTTCTTGTCTGCTTCACCACTGTATCTATATCTTACTGTCGTTGACAATGGAGATCTCCATTTTTATTGCATGGAATCCTTATTAATGTCTCTTCTGTTCAATTTTTAACAAAAAGAAATACAAAATGGCTATAATTAGAGCATATAGATACAGCCCTCAAATCATAATTAATTTCAATATTTGTGATTCTTTTGAACCAGTTCCGTATGTTTAGGACTATTTATCTGCTAAGTTACTGAATTTAATATGTATTTAGGGTTTTTTTTTTTACCAAATTCCGTGTGGATTCAACTAATTTAATGTGTATTTAGGATTTTTTAACCAAATCATGAAATTCTTATTTTATTAAAAAAAATGTTGCTGTGTTTTCTAAATTTCTAATGTTTGCAAAAGTTCTTGATTTTTTTTTTATTTAGAAAAGAAAAGTTTTTTTAAGGGCAAAACGTTTGGGAACAATTTTTGTTGTCACTGTGCTTCGTCTTCGTATACAATCTCTCTCTTCCTGTAAGGTCACCGCCGGTTTCTCCGCCACGCGCTGCCGTCTCCGGCTTCGTTCTACCGTAAGTTTCTTCGATTTCTTCCTTATCTTCTTCTTTTCTTCGTCGGGTACGAGCAAAATCCGGCCAGATTCGGTTGGTTATGCCCTGCGATTTGACCTCCGTGGTTCCATGTTCTCAATAGACCAAGTTAGTTTTCCAATGGACAGTTGTTTTGGCCGTGACGACGACGCGGGTGTGGAATTCGTCCTGTTTTTTTCGACTAACACCATAAAAGGTGTTTGAAATTGTTGGGACAAAGGCGTAATTTTTCATTGATTCATTTGGGTTTAGGTTGTTTGAGTCGGAGCTTGTTTCTGTTCTGAATTATTGCCTCTGGTCGATGATGTTGTGTATTGCTCTTAAGGTGTTCGACGAAAATTCTCAAATAGAAACACCGATGTATTCTCGGAGCACTAATGTAGCAAAAGATGAATCAGATGCTGATAAAGTTTCAAGCTTTTTAGGATTCTAGGTTTTGTAGTTGAGATTAGGGGTGTTGGGTCTATGATTCAGGATAGTTGCTGAACGCTAACGTACAAACTGCGGAATCATGGTTCGGATCCTGCAGGTGTCAAGAGGCGCCGTTTAATCTTATTTTCGGCTTTTTACAGAAGTTTGGAGTTTGATCTTTTGAGTTTTCGGGCTTCGATGGTTAGGTTTAAGCAATTTGCTCTTTGATGATTAGAAAAAACAAACCTATTATCTTATGGTATTGGAATTTTAGGTGAAGAAGAATGAGTAGCAAAGGGGTTCAAGTTGCTAGAGTTTACCGAGACCTTCTCAAATCGGTGGCGAAGAACATCGGTAAGGAAGATCACAAGGCTCATTTCACAGACTTCATAAAGCAGGAGTTTCGGAAGAATGCAAATTCTAAAGACCTAGACTTGATCCGACAGAAGATGAAACTTGCCCGCGATTACACTTTTCTTCTTAGCAGCGTTCACCATCACATGGTGAGATCCCTAATATTCTTTTGTCGATACAAAACCGAGTCCTTGTTTTCTTTTGTGGTTTCATCATTCACCATGTTCCCTATTTATCCTATTCTGGTATCTCGTGGGCATTGTCTTGAATCCTGGTTTAACCAAATCCATGGGCTGAGCTCATCTCATCATTTCTCTTTTACATTCTTCATGTTGCTGTACAAAGTAAAGATGAAACTTTGATTCAATGGTTGTGCAGGAGTTGCTATTCTCATACAACATTGCAATCGATAGGGCGGAAGAAATGAAACGGGTGATCGGGAAATCTGCAGCCAGCGTAGGTCTTCGCCTTCCCGATGTCTACCAGCCTTGAAAATTTCCGTTTTTTCCCGGCAAAATCTGGATTTCTCCATCTCTTTAGACATTCTGGCGTGGACGTTCATCCACCGAATCATTTGATCGATGTGAATGTTCGTCCATCAATCTATATCGTAAATTCTTGATTCGCGTGACAAGATTATCGCACCATAGTAGATTCGGACAACAACATTATGAGAAGGCCTCATCATGTTCTTGTAGTAAGAGTTGTTTGTGTTGGATTTGTTGTGAGCAATAAGTTCGTTCCTTTCAAGTTTTTTACGTTTTAACTGCTGAATGTTTTACTATCTCGTTTTTTTCAATGCTCTTGGGTACAGTAAATATCAATTTTTCCCCCCATCGGTGTTTAGGGATGGGCACTGATTGGGTAAATAAATGTGAATCCGAATCGTAAGGGGTAGGAAATTTATTATTGTACTCTGAATTCAAAAGGTTTGGATATTCTAATGCCAAGTATTCGAAAATTAGACACATTGCTAAGCCTTTTGCACGGACGGAGGTTGGTAACGGTAATGAGACATACTTTTGGTTGGACCACTGGAGCGCGATGGGTAGATTCTTAGATGTTATTGGGAACTCTGGACCATCAGATTTGGGGATTCCAAAACTTGCTCGTGTTTCATCTATCTATACGGGCGAGCGTTGGACTATCCCTAACCCTCGTTCGGAGCTCCAGGTGGAGATGATTAGTCATGTCCTTCAAACAACCATTGACCCAACGAGAACTTATTCACACGTCTGGGTAGTAAATGGTAAGCGTTTGGTTAAGTTCTCTACTAAAAATATTTGGCTGGCTATCCTGAATGCCATACATGCGTCCAATGGTATCATTTAGTTTGGTTCAAAGGTCACATTCCGAAAGTTTGCTTTCACGACTTGGGCATTCATGCTTAACCGCAATCCAACGAAAGAGAGATTAATCGGGTGGGGAATGCCTTCCCTGCAACTTAGAAGATGAAAACCGAAATCATTTGTTCTTCCTATGTCCTTACTCGAGAGAGCTATGGCGCAAAGTTTGTATGAGCTTAAAAAACTTGGCACTTCATCGACGGATTGGCTGCGCATGGTGGAATGGTTGAACCAAACTTGGGCATATGCCAACGAAAAGTTGATAGTTCTGTTGGCGTGGCAGCTAACCATTTACTACGTTTGGCGAGAACGTAATGTCCGATTGCACAGGGCTATTTTCAAGAAGATGGGCAAGACTATTGGGCGTATTGCGTCGACGTTTCGGTTGACGCGGTCAGACTTGGCGGGAGACATAACATCACAATGGTTTGGATAATTCTCGGAGTTAATTTTGTGAATTTTTTTTATGCACTTTCTCTTTTGGATTATGATTGTTGTACAAATCTGGAGTAGATTTAGACAGCAAAATTTATTTTGGAGATGGTGACTTTTCCAACAATTTTGTAATGTAATGTTGGGAAAGAATACAAATACATACCTTTTACCAAAAAAAAAATATTCGAAAAAATTACTCATCGCGAGTTTTTGAAGGTATCCGCGAATATTTGAATTCGAATTAAGTTCGGACATCTTGGGTAGAACTAAAATTTTAAAAACATTGATTATATTTTCAAAATTAAATTAATGGAATGTAAAAATAATGGAAAAATGGTATAAAACATAATTTTTGTTTAGAAGATGCATTATTTTTTAAATAAAAAATCAAATATAATTAGAAAGTGAATCATAAACAAATTTGAACTAAAACTTCCTAAAAATGTCAAATCTAATAATAATGAGAAAGAAAATAAAAGGAACGAAATCCAAATAGATTTTAGAGACTTCGGAGTAGGAATTGTTGGTGATGTTCCTTTGTAGATTTTATCAATTTTAATAAATGATTTAATGCCTTTTATTACTGAAATAGCTAAAAAAAATATACTCCCTGTTTAGCTTTATTTGACGTTTTAACTTTCAACACGCATATTAAAAAAAATAAAATTTTATCTAAAATATCCCTTTTTAATTATGATGTCTTTGTTTTTTCTCTCGTACAATATTGTAATTAACTATTATTAATGAAAGATAATTTTAAAAAAAGTATCAAAAAATACATTAGAAAATATCAAAACGTCATTTATTTAAAAAAAATGACTCCAAAACGTCATTTAAACTAAAAGGAGGGAGTACAAATCTACATTGGATTTTGAAATGTTAATATTACTTTTCTAAAAACGATAACATAAGATATGCCCAACAGGAATTATAATATAAAGTTATTATAAATGCAAAAAAAAAATTATATCTAATTATTTTTTATTTCAAAATTCTATAATACTGAAAATAGAATTTAGTAATTTCGATAATATTTTTCTTTATTCAACCTCAAAGTTAGTAAATTAAGCACAGATGTTAAAAATTTTGGTCGGAACAGATACACTTGAAATCCGGTGTTACCTGTGTTAACTGGAATCAACGTTATGGCAATTTTGTAATTAACTCATAATAGAGGGGTACTTCTGACAATAAATAGTACTCACTATAAATTCCTAAATCCAGAAACCCTAGTCTTCATCTCCAAGTCGCCGAATCCTACCCAGAAGATTAACTGCGGATTAGTCCCAGGACCGTACCGAGCAGAATAATTCAAAATGGGGTGAGTAAGATCATTAGATTCCTTCTGTGTGAATTCGAATTGCTCCGAGAAATTTGCTTATCGTATCGATTCGCATCAGATATCTGTTGGGTATAGCGCGTGTGCTTGATTCGAATCCTCAGTTAGTAGAATTATATATATGAATCCAATTCTCAAAGGTTCCAAAATTTAGGATTTTGCGGCTTGTTCATCGTTTCGGAAGTATTATGTCGCCACTTCGGAGAGGTGATTTGTGTTTTTGTCTGGGTTCTCATTGGTGTTTCGCTTGACTACAAAATGTCTAGGATGTCCTGTCTGTTTTGTATCTGTATGGAAGATGCAGGTAACGAGGTAAAGAGAGGTTATTTGCTTTAGCTTGAATGAAACTAGTGGAGATGCTGATGATTTCTATGTGGCTTTAAGTATATGAATTTCTGTATGCGGAATTTGAGGAATCTGATTTGTTTTTTTTTGACGATCAATATCTTCAGGAAGACGCGCGGTATGGGAGCTGCACGCAAGCTGCGGAACCACCGCAGAAGACAAAGGTGGGCCGACAAGTCGTACAAGAAATCTCATCTCGGAAACGAGTGGAAGAAACCTTTTGCTGGGTCTTCACACGCCAAAGGAATCGTCCTTGAGAAGATGTAAGGCTTCTCCTCCTCTTTCGAGTTTAGATGCATTGGTTCTTGGGTCTCGTACTGGAACTCGACTAATGGGTCATGTGAACTATGCAGCGGTATTGAAGCTAAGCAGCCGAACTCTGCTATCCGTAAGTGTGCTAGGGTTCAGCTGATCAAGAATGGGAAGAAGATCGCTGCTTTCGTCCCCAATGACGGTTGTTTGAACTACATTGAAGAAAATGTGAGTCGATAAAAAGCTCGACTTTATACCCACCAAGGGTTCTTGCTCATTCATTGTAAGTGGCTTTGCTGACCGTTCTTTCGGGCTGTGTTTCAGGACGAGGTTTTGATTGCGGGATTTGGGCGTAAGGGTCACGCAGTGGGAGATATTCCCGGAGTCAGGTTCAAGGTGGTGAAAGTCTCTGGTGTCTCTCTCTTGGCCCTCTTCAAGGAAAAGAAAGAGAAGCCGAGGTCTTAAAGTTGCTTGGAAACCCGATTTTTTTGTTCTTCTACCGACTTTTTTTTAGTTTTTGATGAGAAGTTCTGTTCCTGCTTTTTATTCTTCAACTTCAAAACTGAGGAAAGTATGTTTGGTTACACAAATAGAAAGGCTTGCTCGAGCAATTTTGATAACCGTCCTTAACCGGACAAGCTTTTCATTGCCTGAGCTATTTGAGAAACTTGTTGTTTGAATTTGATTCTGATTTACCAGATTGTTATCTGCTTACCATTATGATTTAAAAGAAATTGTTAGGCATGGCTTGCTCGGGTTTCAATTTGGATTTGGTTTAACTATTCCAGTGTTTTAAAAAATATAACAGCTCGGTTTTTGTATTTAAATTGGTTTTCTATTCGATTGTATTCAATTTGGATTTATTTCGGTTTTGAAATATTTTTGGTCTTTTCAATTTTTCTTATTTTTTTCATTCAATTCGATTCAAATCATAACCACTCGATTTTTATATAATTTACATTTGATAATTCGCTTATTAACCAAATAAGTCATCCTAGAAATAACAACAATATAACAACAATCTTGAATTCGCCAAATCGGTCCTGTTTTGGGTTACATCGGTTTAGTAAACCGGTTTTAACAACCGAAAAGGGGCATTAGATTCGCTCGGGTTCAGTTTATCATCCCGAACATTTAGTTGGTGCAAACATAACAACATAACATAGACGGTTTTTTCTTTGGCAAAACATAAAATAGGTGCTTTCAATCATGCAAATAATAAATGACAGATACTGTATCTATTCTTCATAGCTAATAGCAAAAATATGATCCTGCATGTGTATATAATATATATATATATATATATATATTTACATATAAAAGCATATAAATAACTTCCCCCTTGCAAAAGTGGATTTCATTTCATTTGCCATCAAAAGCTAAAACTGCCTTTCTTCGTTCCCATGTTCTTGCATGGATTGGAACACCAAACTGTGTCCCTGTCCCTGCAGAATTCAATTCAGTGAAACCAGAATCTGTCATCATTCATTACAACATTACCATTTACTCGGCTTATCATTAGGACAGTTCACAGCTCCATACCCTTTCAAATCCAAACAAAAATCAGTAAGTTCCATGTTTAGAGCATCAAAGTGCTGATCCGGGGCAAGAGAACATATCGAAAGGACACTGAAGGGGCAACACGATTTTCCCGGTATTATGCGTGGATCTTGTGAATTCAGCCGAATACAAGACAAAACGGTTTCAGTACCGTGTCACAATGTATAAACAAGTTGTCGATCCAGTCAGCCAAATAGCTACAACATACCATAACAGAGATATGCCATGAAACAAGCATGGTGGTTTGCCTAGGTGTGTGTGTACGTTTGTTAAGAGAGAGAGAGATTTACTTGGTGGTTTGCATAGTTCACAGATCCTTGAAGGGGAAACTGAGTCATCTGTTCAAGTAGGAAGAAGGCAAGAGAATGAGCAGACATAGACGAAGGCATAATGCAGAAGTTAATTCGAATTCAGAAACAAGAAGAGGATACTTGAGCATTTGGGACGAGAGGAAACCCGGTTGCATCACTTCTAGTTCCATCCCCACCTCTTGTTGTGGATACTTTTGTCTCACTCTGAGCAAGTTCAATGTTTTAGACAAGATTGAGGTCTTGCACATGTGCCAGAAGTATAACTCTAACTAAAGCAAACAGAGAATTATGTTCCGAAAAAAGCAAACTATTCCATTGATTACCTCCAACTAACAGCGAGGTCCATCCCATCAAAACACAACAATTTCCACAAAATAAAGAACAGTCAGAATGATAATTTGCTACTCTTTGAGATGTTAAACCGACAGAGAGAGCAGATGAAAAGCAGAATATAGAGATACTTCCAGATACGATGCTTCACCTCTCTGTATCGAGTCAAGTATATCCTCAGAGGCTCGATATAGTTCTCGAATCCCAATGTTGCTATTGCCCACAATAGATCATCCCCATTAATCGTCTTCCGCTTCTCTTTCTGGCATTTATCACTAGCCCTGCAAAGCAAAGCTCTTAGCCATACCTGTGTTCAGAGTACACAACTGGAAGCAAGATGAAGTGATATGGACACCCAGATAACTCGACCACACGAATAGCACAAAACCGACTTTGAAAATACGCCTAGAGTCCAACTATTGTCAACACAAAGTGATCCACTTATTCAGCAAGATTAGCTTATGCATACAAACAGGCAATGCATAACAAGATACAGATAAATGGAAATTGCCAGTTCAAGAATGATTTCCTAGTACACAGCGAAAAATAAACGATTCTGCTAACAAGTAATCGGAGCAGTTACCCTAAACAAGGGCAAGGATTCGAGTACAGAAACTTACTCGGTTGTGACAAAACTGATGAACTCAGAAACACATTCCTGAACCGTGTCCTTAGCTTCCTTAGCGATCTTGCTGTTTGCAGGCAAGGCTTTCTTCATAATCCGGCTAATGTTCGCTATAGGAAGATACCGATCCTGCTCCCTAGTAGCCCCTGAATGCGGGCTATGCTCGTTCCCTCCACCGCTCTCATGGCTCCCTCCCCCAGGTGGACTGGTCCATGAATTCGACATCTCTCTAAACGGTACAAACCTTGTCATGCCAAACAAACAGATAATGTTCAGGAATATCCAACAAATTTGGAAAGAAAGAGACAGTGTTTTCACAATTCTGATCACATCGACAACCTCTTCAACACACAGAAAACCGAACAACACATCATGGGCATAGATATTACATATTACTGTTACTGCTAAGCATAGCAGAAAATTTCTATCTCATTAGACCACAATCCGACAATATTACCATAAGCATCTCGATCCTCGCACAAAGTATGGAGCAATTTCCACCATCAAACCAAACCCATAAACGCAAAGAAACCCGATTTCGTATATTCAGTAAAAACAGGAACTTTGACAGAGCCCAATCAAAGGATCAATCAAACGACACAAAACAACCAGACTACAAAACATAACTCTTAATAACAAAGCCGAACATCAAACGAACACAAAAGGGAAAGACATGAAACCGAAATCAAACATCACTGGAGACAAAGTTCATGAAAACGTACATGAGAAGAAATCGGAGAAGAACATACAGATACATAGACAGATACACATACTAAACCTAGAGATAGAGAGAGAGAGTACCTATGTGGAGAAGGTAAGCGAAACTGGGAATCGGGTTTGGCGGGAGGAAGGGGAAAGGAGAAAGGAGAAGATCAGACGACCCACAAAAATCCAAGACGAAAATGACGAATCTGACGAAGGAAGAGGAACCTCGTAATTTTTGTTTTTAGTATTTATAATATTAAGAATAATAATTATTAATGATTATTTTTATATTTTTGTAAAATGTATTCTTTTTCTATTGGATACTTTTGGACGTTGATTGACCACAGTTCGCCCCATCCCGAGTCTTTGACGTTCATGGGCAAAACCTCTTACTGACACAGAGGGTTATTTACAAACTGCAAAGGATCATACTACGTAACCATCACGAGAGTTACTTAAAGATTTTACACGTGAATAGAACATATATGATTTATACGAAAATAATATAAACCAAATCTCGTTAAATGTTGTTTTTTTACATGTTTTCCACACTTCTTCCGTATGTATTTTTAGTACGGTGTGATTATATTAATATAGAAATCTATTTTTTAAAAATATAATATAAATTTAGTTTCTATGTAAACTTTTTTTTAAAAAAAAAAATTGGTTAATACCATTTACGTTTTATAAAAAAAATGCATATTTCGATAAATATATATTTGAACATATGGGTGTTGTAATAACAGGTATTCCATTCACCAATTGCCACTAAAACCAATGTACAAAGGGCAAAATACTTGTTTAAATAAAACAACATGCGATGTATTTACCACATTAGGATATATAAAAACTGGATTTTTCATTAGAATTGATCTTATTTAGTAAATAAATTGTAGATAAGCAACAATAACAAGAAAGCAATCATTACTGATATTTTAGCTACATTTAAATAAATACCTGATGCATTCATATTTTAAAAAATCGTTTTTTTATGATGTATTTGTTTTTACAGAACGATATCTTGATTTATTTATTTAATTTGATAAAGTAATATAATATAAAATATTAAAAGAAATGATTTAAGTCAGAATCTAACCCCAAATAGAAAAAGAAAACTTATTTAAAATAAACAGATCTCATCAAAAGCGAGGAGAAAAACAAAGCACGCTAACCGTAGGATCTTCTCAAACATTGATCGGACGGTCAATATGATAAGATACGGAAACACGCGAAGCCGTGAATTGGAGCAAATAATAATTAAATTAAATTAAATTAATAAACAGAGAAATGAAAGTGCACGAACGTATTAGGAAGCTTTGAAGCCATATGAAGAAAAAAACTCAAACCTTCGTAAAAATGGCGTCTCTTGAGAAGGAAAGTGAACTGTGTATAACACTTATCCGCCATTTCAATGGCACCTCTTCACTCCCCTTTAAAAACCCAGAAAATCCTTCATCATTTTCACACAACACAAAAAACAATGGCGTTTTCTTCTTCTTCTTCGTCGTCGTCTTCTTCGTCGAGTATGCCTGCTTTCGATGGTTCAATGGCTTTCGCCTACAACGCATCGTTCCCCTCTTCATCGATGGTCGTGTCCCGCGAAGAGTTCAACGCGTTTCACAGAATCGACAGGTCCCTATTCGCGCGTCTCGTCTTCGTTCTTGGCCGAGACATCGCTCAGTCCGCTCAAGTCGTGGCCTTCTTCTTATGGCTCGAACACTGCGGCCAAGCCAAGAACGTCGTCGCCTACTTGACCTCCTTGCCCGATTCTTTCATCAACGCCGTCGCTGACGAGGTTGTCGTCTGCTTAAACTGCCTGTGTTACGAGGATTTCGCTCTCTTCGCCGTCAACTTTGGCTTCCACAGCAACTTCGATGCGATTCCTTTGATCAAACGCCTGACCAGAAACCGGCTCACTCTCAGTTTATTCCACCAGAACCGAGAAAACATCCTTAAAGGGTTCACCAAGGAACTGAGAGAAGTGTGTAACCGAGCTTTCGAAGACATAAGCGCGAGCGCAGACAGGTTTAAGAGGGAGAAGACGATCGTGGAAG